TCTATCTATCTATCTATCTATCTATCTATCTATCTATCTATCTATCTTCTATTTATCTATCATGATTTCTTTCTATCTATATCAGTATCCCTTCTCTCTCAATACCTCAATATCTACCTCATCTCTCTCAAAATATCTTCTCTCAATATCTCATATCATTCATCTATCCATCCATCCAATCTACCATCTCATCAATATCTATTTAATCAATATTCCAGCTCTCTCTTATCAATATCTATCTTCCTTAATATCTCATCAATATATCTATCGATCACTATCGCTATCACTATAGTCATGGATACCTCTTCCAGGATCAAGCAGCTTAATAACGTAGGAGTTATTACCACTGAACCACAGACACAAATCACAAACCTCCACGCCTGGAGTCATTTTCTACCCTTGCTGCTAGCTCAGCTTTTGGCTAAAATCTCATGCTGGAAGAAAAACAAAATCAAAAGAAGGTCTTGCACCTTCCTCTTGCCTGAAGGACAAGCCCAGCTCTGAATCATCCGAACCCCCTTAAGCTGCTTATGCCTCTCATTTCAACTTCAGAGGAGGTATTAAGCTCTAATGACTTTAATGAAACATCTGAAAAGTCCTGGCTGCTGGCATTAATCATTGCTCACACCTTCATTGGTGTCATAAAGACACCAAGATTTTGAGAGCGTTTCATCATCTGGATTTCAAAAGAAGTGTCCACGCTTTTAAGGACGATATCAAAAGGAAGAAGCGGGGCAAAAATTGGCGTTGGCCTTTTTTTGGATGCACTACAGTGTTTTTGGTTAGCTACACCAAGCTCCTTGTATTTCCTGCTTCTTCTTTTTGACCAATGTTGATTTGGAGGATAAACTTCAATTTAATTTGTTGGAAATGAAAACGGAAAACGTTTAGCTAATTCCAAATTAAAGACTCACCTTCTGCGAAGAAAAAGAGGCTTGTTTCCTAAATTCTTTTGCACAACTCTTCTCCAGCCACACATCCTCCAGATGTTGTAGACATCAAAAATCACGCTAAGTAGTCCAAGCAAAACTTCATCTGTGTTTCAAACCCTCTAGCAGTAACAGCACCAACTCAGCTCCACCTGAGCTCATTAGACATTAGATTCTCATAGGAGTGCAGACCTTATTGTAAACTGCATGTGAAGAATCTAGGTTGCACGCTCTTCTCCCACCTCCAGGTCCGTGGAAAAATTGTCTTCCATGACACTGGTCTCTGATGCCAAAAAGGTTGGGGATCACTGACATCAATAGCATTAGCACTTAGACTTATATACCGCTTTATAGTGCTTTACAGCCCCCTCTAAGTGGTTTTACAGAGTCAGCCTATTGCCCCCAACCATCTGTGTTCTCATTTTACCCACCTCAGGATAGAAGGCTGAGTCAACCTTAAACCTGGTGAGATTTGAACTGCCAAATTGCAGGCAGCCGGCAGTCAGCAGAAGTAGCCTGCAGTACCGCACTCTAACCACTGCGTCTCCATGGCTCATAGATATAGATCAATAAGAAACATCCCATTGCAGACCCTGAAGCTTCACGCCTTAAATAGACGAGAACCACCAGCATTACGGATGCTACCAGCAGAAAGCACTCATGTATAACACGAGGCAAACTACAGATTAGGAATATGCCCAGAAATTGATCTAGGAGGAAAGTACACAGGTAGTTCTCAGCTTACGACCACAATTGAGCCCAAAATAAATGTTACCAAATGAGAAATTTGTTAAGTGACTTTTACAACCCCATTTTACCACTGTTCTTGTCACAGTTGTTAAGCGAATCACTGCAGTTCTTAAATGAGTTACACGGTCGTTAAGTTGAATCCGGCTTCCCCATTGTCACAAGGTCGCAAAAGGGGATCACGTAACCCCGGGACACTGCAACCGTCATAAACGTGGGTCAGTTGTCAAGCATCCGAATGTAAGTCACGTGACCATGGGGACTGCTGTAACGGTCCTAAGTGTGAAAAATGGTCATAGGTCCCTTTTTTCAGTGCTGTTGTTTTTTCGAACGGTCACTAAATGAACTGTTGTAAGTCGAGGACTACCCGTAGTTTCCACTGACATGGACAGAGCCAAGGTTGAAAATTCCTCCCGCCGTATTGCTTGGGGCACTCTTCGTGTAGCACCTATGATTTAGCATTAAGTACTGCTGTAATTAAAGGCAATCATAAATTTGCTTCGGCGTTTTTGAAAGACAGAATTTAGATGAACTTGATTTCAGCTTTACAGGAAGACAATTTATTGACCTTGTTGGGCATCTATTTTTTTTTTTTAGTGGCCTATCAGGCAGAAAGGAAAGAACAAGGATTAATAATTCAACACACACATACATAAAACACAACAGGTGATGGATCGGTTTGGTTTTATTCTGGGAAGGTTGCAATTACAGAGAGCTGTGACGGCAGCCAAACTAAACATTTGGGCCACTTTATCTTTAAAATTAGGAAAGCTGAGATGGATGGAATAATGGTGGGGGTGGGGGGGGGGAATGCAACCTTAAGAGCTACTTAGGGCAATGACGCATTTGGTGATATGATGACCCAGGCTTGGAGTGGTAGAACAGCAACCTCGCATTTCCTCCCCCAAAAGAGAGCAAGAATTGTGGGTTAAGAAACAATGATGCAAAGAGTGTCTGTGCACCGACTTTGCTAAAAAAAAAACAAAAAAAAAACGAAAGGAAAGGTGAAAATGAGGATGATTATTATACAAGCGGTGGTTTCGTATTTCAGAAACCCCCAACCTGGGAAGCTTCCAGATATGAAAATTTTGTTCCTTCCCTTGGAGGGCACCTGGACTGGGAAAGTTTGCCTAATTATTTTGCAGGGGGGGGGGTAGCTGGGGGTTCAAAGGGGTTCGGGGGAGCCCCTAGCTAAGATTCTGTGCAGTTTGGAGAACCCTCGAATCCCACTCCTGGCTGGCCCCGCCCACCTCACCCTGCCCACCCCAGGAGTCCCCACATGACCCGTTTTGGATGAAGGTAAGCGCAGGGCACTCGCGGAGGCTCGGGGGGGGGGGGGGAAAAAAACGGGCCTCCTGGAAATTTGGGAAGGCCAGGTTAGACCATAGAATTATAGTGTTAATAGGGTAATTGGGACACAGCGATTAGGTGGGTGGAGTGAAGGGATAAATTACACTGAAAGATGACTGATTTCAGTGCTAACCCTGTTCAGTTTAACTGTGCTTACCAGTTACTGTACTAGGAACAACCAAAAGAAAAAAAGAATACAAACCTATCTGTTTGCAATTTCTTACCTAGGATTCACAGAACCACGGCTAAGAAGTGCAGGTAGATACTTGTATTTTTACTGCGCTTTAGAAAATTCAGGTGAAAGGATTCATGTTTCCCTTCAGCTATTATGTTTAGGTGCTGCTTTACGTGGTGGCACAGGTATGCTCTGTCTCAAAGACTTTATAGCTGTACTGTTCAGAATTCTACCAACCAATTGTTCATAATATGCGTATTTTAGCCTGGATTTCATGGAACTGATTTTTAAGACATCTTTCAGGAGGGCGAAAGCATAAAAGGAAGGGGGCATTTCTTGCTGGCATCAAAAACACATATGTTCTCTCATTAACCCTTGCCATATAGTTGATTCTGTTGCTAACCTTCTCCACTATGCCACTTTTTAAAAAATATATATTTTTTCAAATTACGAGCTATTAACAAATGAAGAATTCAATAGGTCCAAATTGCAAGCAGCTGTCCCTGATAAGGATGCGAACCACAAAAGTTTTGAAAAATATTTGTAAACTCTTTAGGAGTTGATCTCCCTCCACTTCCCCCCTACCCCCCCAAACTGTTAAATGGCCAATTTCTGAGCTGTTTTAAGTATAAAGATTCTAAGAAGCAGCCTCCAGAGCAGAAATAGTTTGCAAGTTATTGAGCACAACTTAAAACGCCACCATAATAATGTAGGGAAAATGAGTTTGTTTCAACCCTTTTTTTGCAGCTTCTCCGATTTTAGATGGGAAAAAGAAAAGTTATTGAAACAGGGGCTCCAAAGAGCATACAATACAAAACTTTTACAACGCAGTGCTCTCCTGATATGCTGGACTACAACTCCCACCATGCACAGCCCCCATAGGCAATGAGTATGACCGGAAGGTGATGGAGTTCAACATGCATGGAGACCCTAGGCTTACAATAAAATATTAATAATACTGTATTCACAAAACTATTTCTATTTTAAATATGGAGGTGAGGCCAAAGACAACTTGTAACTTATTCTAAGTCTACTGGCATTTTAAAAACCTCATTCAGTTCTTCAATATCAAAGGTGAAAAAAGTTTTATAAAGAGTCACCGACAAAGGAGAAATCCACTTTCTGTGGCCGCCAATGCTGCTTTCTTTGGGACTTCAACCACATATGAAAAATAGCCGAAAAACACTATCTTTACCTACCCAACTGCATCAAATTAGGTTCAAAAGAGAAGTTTTTCTGCAAGTACATCTTTAAGTCACTATCAAGACATCAGATGATGGGGGAAGTGGGGAGAAAGAAAATGCATTAGGCCCTTAATGGAAAGTAGGGAAAAAACCTCACTAGCATGAATAAATGGTTACTTGAAACAGTTGCTTCTCAAGAGAGCAGTAACAGGAAACCAAGCAGGGAAATAATTGAAAAAGCTACAAGGACTGCAAAGGTATCATTAAAAAAAAAATCCCACACTAACTGATTTTGCCCATACAGCCCAAGTGATGTATAAAATGCAACTTGAGCCACATGTACAAGTTTTTAAAGGGTCTGGCAGGGTCTTCGCTCTCGTGTTTGCTTGCTTGATCCTCTGCCCTGGGGAGGTGTTAGATATTTTCTAAAGCTGGACAATCGCGAATGTTTTCACGAGAGTTTCTGCCTTTTGTCCAGATTTGATAGGAGCGAGGTGGAGGTGATTCTTCGTGTTTCCAGCCGGGACATGTTGCCTCCCGCTGCTTTGGCACATACACTCACAAATTCCAGCCCGACCAGGAGCCACAGTCTAATGCTGCTGCTTTGAAGCTGGCACAGCTCCTGAATAGCTTTAAGTATTTATCAGCTCAATAGGTCAAAGGTCTTCAGACATTGGGTGGAGCAGCAATATGCCACAAAACTCACTCTTGTTCTCCTGGAAGACAAAAAAAAAAAAAAAACATGAATAAAAAAGGAGAGCCAAAGGCAACGGTTGTCTTCTCAAATTAAAATGCTGGCTCTAAGAGAGAGGATACAACTTTTATGGATGATTAAAAGAGCCAAGGAATCGGGAGTGGGGATTGAGCCCCTGTAAATTAAGTATGTATAAATATTTGAGCTTGCAAAAATAGCAAGAGGTTTTCTTCCTCGGTCAACATACCGAAAGGTCTAGCTACTTATTAGCGCAGATTTGAACCTAGCAAGAAAACATTTGGAAGATTTCTCTAATTTCTTAAAGGAAGAACATTAAAAAAAAATCTTACAATGCTCCCACAAATCTTCCATATTTGCTACTAAATAATCTATGCGCTCTATGTTGTGACTTCTTCCACGTGGTGATGGAAAAGGGAACATGAATTTTTAGACAAAGATGTTTGTTTTAAAAAGGAAAAATTTGAATTGTTTTAATAAGTAATCTAAAATTATATTCCCATCAGTAAAAGCAACATCATTGGTAGCTTACAAAGCAAACATAAAACTGGAATTACTGAATTAAAAATAATCAGCAATTAAAATCCTATTTATATTGTCATTTAGTGGCGTATGGAAAAGCCAACAATCACCGCACACAAGACAGAATCTTAAGAATACAACCACGCTGAAGACAAAGTTACCCAACTATTTGCATGCCAAATAATTTTAAATGCTCGGGCAAATATTGCTTGCACCCGTGCCAAAAGGCAAACATCTAAAGAGGCATTCCTTTTACCTTAGTAACCTCTCTGCCTTTGACTCATAAATTCAAAGTTCTGCCTTCATGGAAAGCTCACCGAGTCTGAAATTATTGGAAAATATTGTACACTACAGATAGGCTCTGGGTGCTTTTTGATTCAAAAATGTTATCCTTCCAAGAAGCATAGTCAGAATAAGTTTTATCATCCAATCCTATTGTGGAAGTAGGTTTCCACATTCTTAGCTAAAGCAATATATAATAATAAGGAATGTTCCTTGTAGCTTATTCAGGATATAGCGGAAGAAGTTGAATACAGTCTTTGGTGATTTATATGGGAATTTACTGTTGGAAAAAAAAAATAAAGACACTGGAAACATGGAGGCTGACTGGAAGGATGGTTTAATGGGGAAGCAGAACCACCAAGCCCATGTCTGATTCTGGGCATAACTGACCACATGGAGTGGAGAGTGAGAGAGATTTATACTCTGTCTTGGGCTTTGAATTTGCTTCCTGTTTCTGTAGCAAGAAATGTATCCTGACTGGTTATCAGACTCCCATGGGGTCATGCAGGGGTAACTTTGTAGGTTGTCTTGAGTCCCAAGCTTGGTTGAATCTTGCTGGGTGATGTAATGAAGGAGCTTTGGGCAATTCCTATGATGGCCTTTGTCCTTGTTTGGATCTGAGTGAGGGCTAATCTCCTCACCCTGGAGCGGAAGGTCTTTTGTGTTGTAGATAAGATGTCTTTCTGGGGCTATTAACCAAGGTGGGGGTTGCTTTCCAAAAACATGTTTCTCCTTTTTTCATCCAGGGAGGTGTACTATTCTGCCTTTTTAAAATATTTCCTAGAATATTTCATTTTTCTAGGAGAAGGGTAGGTGCTAACTTTCTACAGTCTATAGATCCTTTGGAACTACTACTTGTTTCAAGAGTCAGGCTTTCCTGTGGAGATAGCTGAGGCAGCTCCTTACACCAAGTCTGATCACCACAAAACAGCAGGGACTGCAACTTTCAGCTTCTCAAAAATATCAACCTTCTTTGAGAAGGCAGTCCAGGTTTTTTTGTGCTTGGAGATTTGGCGGGGGGGGGGGGGGAGGAAAAAGTGAATGCAGTGTATTCAAAATTCTAGGTTGCCTGGGGAATTCTGGGAGTAGAAGACCACAGTTGCCAAGTTTGGAGACCCCTGATCTAGAAATCTGGAGGCTAAGTTTTGCATGCCTTTATTCTCCTTCCTGCTTTGCCTTCTGGTTCTCTTCCTATTCTGTAGGAAGAAAGAATCTTTCCCGTAGCTCATTCTCTGCTACTTAATTTTTTCAGGCAAAGAAAAATACAATTGGATATTCAGTGTGAAATGCTGCAATTTGGAATATAGGCCTTATGGAAAACCCACCTCCTAATCGAGTCGTAATAACACCCCGATACATACACACTTCTCAATTTGTAAGGAAAATTGTCAGCAGACTCACAAAAGCCTAAGCATTTGCCTTTGCAAATGCCTTCTCTTCTAGCTGAAGCCCACGCGTACAGTCTGAAACCACTGTGTAATTTACTCTGTAATTACCCCTGATGTAATCCAGCCATCGGTGTCTCTCTCAAGGGGAAGAGCTTTGGGTAGACAATAGTGAACATGGGCTGACTGCAGCGGTGGCAGTGTCCCAGAGGGCAGTGCAGCAAATCCAGAAGGCTTCTAGGTAATGAGATCGGAGTCATGAACTTCAAATCTAGAGAGGATTGGGAGAGGAAAGAAAGGATGGCATCAGAAACGATTCCAAAAACCTTGGAGTGTCCTGTGATCAGCTTTTCTGACCTTCTGACAAGCAGAGTCAATGGGGAAGAGTTGCCAGGCCGATATCTTCCAAACACCATGCTGTAGCAGCAATTACTTGGCAAAAAGTCAGAAACAGATCTTCACTCTAATGAACTGAACTAATTGTCTCCTGCAAACACCACTCCCCTTTCGCTCCCCTTTATTCCCTATGGGAGGGGTCATTCCCCGTCCACCTGAGCCTTTACTCCCGAGTTGACCCTTGTTCCTTAACTCCAGGCAGCTCTGTGCATGTGCACACTGGGAACAGGCTCCAGCTGTTCCTCTGCCCCACTGTTCTCTAACTCCGAAGGCAGCTGATAATTGTCAGATGGCTCTGGCCCCGTCTCTGCCTCCGACCCAGAGCCCTCGTCAGAGCCTTCCTCAGATTCCAGGACTGGCCCATGTTCCTCCCCCACCTTCTCCATGTCTGAGTCTGCCGCCAGCTCCACTGGCCGCTGGCAGGCCACAACAAAAACGGGGCAAAACTCAATTAAGAACTGTCTCGCTTAGCGACATAAATTCTGGGCTCAATTGTGGTCGTAGGTTGAGACAATCGATCGTCATCCAGCTACCTTTTAGAGACTGGCAGTATATGTTATACAGGGTCCTCATGGCCGCCTCCTGCAAGGGGAGCACACGATCCAGTTCCGTCCCTATTAACTTCACCTCTGCTGGGAGGAACACCGTCAACTGTCCCGATGAAAAGGAAAGAAGCTGCAACTCTGTTTTCTGAATGGGAGAGCCGCAGCTGGAGAGACATTTGAAGAAAGGGGGGGAAAAACGTTGGAAAGTTGGGGTGATCTGTGATCTAAAGCAACATTATGACATTAACATCACTGAGCCGTGGGGGCGCAGTGTTTAGGGTGCAGTACTGTGAAGCGGGATATAAATGTAAGTGCTATAGCTATTGCTACCCACAGAACTAGCGACGTTTGCTTAGAGAGCGGTTTGCTTAGAGAGGGCTCTAAAGCACCATGAAGTCTAAGTGCTATTACTATTATGCTGTCCTCTTGGATCGCTCTGCGGAAGAGGAACTGATGGGGGCACCGCTGACATTAAAAGAACACTCAAAATATGCAATCAAAACTGGGCAGTCTCACAGATCGTCTCCGTGAAAGCCAAGCGGAGAACGAAAAGGCATGTCTGCATTCGATACATTTCTTGTAAATAATTAACTTGCTGGCCCTTTATGAAAAGAGGGACAAGGGAGGGTGCCCCATGCAAAGACAAGTACTCTTCGACTTACAACAGTTCATTTAGTGACCGTTTGAAGTTACAAGGGCACTGAAAAATGTGATTTGAGACCCTTTTTTCACATGACTGCTGCAGCACCCCCATGGTCATGGGATCAACATTCAGACGCTTGGCAACTGGTTCATTTGAATTGAGGACATGCGTTTATTTTCATGATGCACCAAAAACCAAAGAACTGTCGCTTGTTTCAACGTTTCCCACTGGAATGGAATCCTTTTCCATTCAACAATTCCAAGAACATGGAATCTTTCAGCTGGCAGAAGCCAGGACCCATTTATCTTTCATGGATCCACTCCTAGCCTGTTTGTCCCAGCCAGGGCTAAGGATTTAACTTCTGCGGCTGGTGTTTATGAATATTCAGCTCCTGGAGATAGAAATCTCCCTTTGTCCAATGTGAGCAGGACTCGTTGATCTATTTACAGAATCACCTGACAGAAGGCAATTCAGACCTCAGGGGATTATACCAGCAGTTTCCATGTCATCTCATATGCACGCTTTCAAGTTCTGCCAGCAGTGCCTAAAGCACACAGAAGGATGCTTTTCAAATTATGAATCAATCCAAATTAAACAGAGGCATGTTATTCTGTTTGCTGAGGGAATACATTTTGCTACAAAATTGCCATCTTAATATGAAAAGCAATCAAGAGGTATCCAATGCACCTTTTCGGAGGCAGAAAGGAAGCTGGAATCGTCCTCCAGATGTGCTAAACTGTCTTCCCCATTGCAGAATGCCACTGGGAGCATTGGGAAGTGTATTCTAAAAGATCCGGAAAGTGTGAAGTTCTTGGTGCTGAGCTTGGTTGTTAGCCATCAGAGTCACTTTAAATGCTCAAATGAAAATAGCAATAGCACTTAAGACTTACATACCGCTTCACAGTGCTTTACAGCCCTCTCTAAGCAGTTTTACAGAATCAGCAACTTGCCTCCAACAATCTGGATCCTCATTTTACCCACCTTGGAAGGATGGAAGGCTGAGTCAACCTTGCTCAAATGAAAATAGCAAAATAGCACTTAGCTCTAAATAGCATTTAGACTTATATACCGCTTCACTGTGCTGTCATGCCCCTGTTGGAGACTGACTCTGAGGGAGAGGAGGAACAGCGGACAGGGAGTGGAAGTGTGGCTCTGGAGGTTGTGGAGGAGGCTGGGGAAGGGCAGAGGCCGGCTGGGCAGTTAGAGGCCCATCCCCTCTCCATCCTAGGGCACATAGGGAGGAGAGGATAAGGGAGAGACGTGAATGGCATGGTCTACGGGGGAGGAAAGGGTCTTGATCCTCTTTATGGGCTGCAGCTGTGAGAACTGGTTAAAAGGATGGACATGCGTATGGGCCAGTGCTGGAAACAAAGAGTGGAAATATTTTTAGTCTGTCGTTCCTCTCTGAGTTTGGCGTCCTTCCTGGTGTGTGTTCCGATATCTGTGGACATCTTTAAGACCTTATCTTGCCTGGTTCCCTTAATTGCTTCAGTGTGGCTTGTGTTGTTTTTACTCTTTATAATTTATAGGCATTTTTAGTTTAAACGGCATTTCCTCCTTTTCGTATTTGTTTGTGAGGGAGTTGTCTCCAGTCAAGGATATTTGGAGCTTTGAAGAAAAGTGAAGGAATAAAAGGGGCTTCACCTGTTTTTTTTTTTGACTGTGTTTATTTTATATCCCACCTTGGGTCATCATCACACGTGCTTTTACAGCCCTCTCTAAGCAACAATCTGGGTCCTCACTTTACTAACCTCGGGAGGATGGAAGACTGAGTCTACTTTGAGCCGGTCAGGATCGAACTGCCAAACTGCAGGCAGCTGGCAGTCAGCAGAAGTAGCCTGCAGTACTGCATTTTAACCACTGCGCTACCACGGCTCATGAGCAACCAACTAGTGTTTCTCTCTGTTCAGAATGTGAACTTTGCAGTCTTCCAAAGAGGAGTCAAAGAGGCCACCTGTGTTAAGACCGAACAGTCCTCCCTCGCTCAACAGAGAAGAAGGATGCAACAGCACCCATCTCCTCTTGACAACGCAGTCCTTTCAGCAGTCCCCAAAAGGTTCCATACCTGTCTCTACACTAATTCAGGTGAATCTGGAGGATACAGATAAACCCCCCAAGTGGCCTCAATGACTTTCAAAGAACTAGTGACCAGATGACTGCAAAGAATATAAATCCTTCCGCACCAGTAAGTTAGAGATGAAGAAGCTTCTTGGATGAGAAGCCAAACATTTTCAAAGAAAAACAAAACAGAACAAGAAAGTCCAATTGCCTTTTGGAAAAAAACAAAACACCTTCGGGACAACCAGGATCTGAATGATTGAGAATCTCCGTAGACTGAAGGGGTGAGCCACTTGTATACTGTATAAAAGGAGAGCAAACCCCACCCTCTTCTAGCACGGATGATGTTACTCAGCGGTGGGGTTCTACCGGTTCTATGCCTGCTGCTGTTTTGGCCCACCCATCCTCCTGGGCTCTTACCTGACCTTTATTTCCTGCTTTTTCAACCTCAGCTGCAAGCTGATGATGTTTCACGCGCGCAGAGCGCGCAAAATGTAAATCACCGAACCGGTAGTTACACCGGTCAGATCCCATCCCTGATGTTACTTAGTTGGATAATGAAATTTCTGCAAGCAAAAAACCAAGCTCAGAGAGTACTCAGAATCCCAAAATCCTCCTCCTCCTTTCCACAAATCCCATTCCCTTCTAGCACTGATGATGTTACTTAGTTGGGTAATAAAACACTTTCAAGTAGACAGCTAGGCTCAGGGAGCACCAAGGACTCTGTCGTTCAACCTTGAGCTACAGAGATTTCTCTTCTATTGGATCTGGGAGGTGCCATTTTAGGGACTTATCAATATCAGACATGACCTTTACAAATCCATAGAACTGTATGTTGCAAAGCACACATGTAAATAATGTTACCACAAAATATGTATGGAAAAATGCAGATTGATGTCAATACTTCTATTTTACTCACAGTAAGTCTCAAGTTCAACATTTCCCCCTGAATTGTTCTTAGAAGATCAAGAAACAGCACAGGAGGCAGGGCTATATAAGCATTTAATAGTGAGAAAATTAATGTAAGAGATTTAATACAATGGAGCAGCCATTATAGGGAAATTCCTTTAAAGCAGGGGTGTCCAACCTTGGCAACTTTAAGACTTGTGGACTTCAACTCCCAGAATTCCTCAGCCAGC